ATCATGGCCACTGGTCCCATCACCTCCTGGGAAATAGAAGGGGAAGATATGGAGGCAGTGACAGATTTTACTTTCCTGGACTCCATGATCACTGCAGATGGAGACAGCAGCCACGAATTTAAAAGATGCCTGCTTCTTGGGAGGAAAGCGATGACAAACCTTGATAGCATCCTAAAAAGCAGAGACATCACCTTGCCAACAAAAGTCTGAATAGTCAAAGCTATGGTTTTTCCTATAGTAATGTATGGAAATGAGAGCTGGACCATAAAGAAAGATGACTGCTGAAGAATTGAGGCCTTTGAATTGTGGTGCTGGAGGAGGCTCTTGAGAGTCCCCTGGCCTGCAAGGAGAACAAACCTATCAATTCTAAAGGAAATCAAACTTGAGTGCTCACTGGAAGGACAGATCCTGAAGCTGAGGCTCCGGTACTTTGGCCATCTCATGAAAAGAGAAGACTCCTTGGAAAAGACCTTGATGTTGGGAAAGTGTGAAGGCAAGAGGAGAAGGGGACAACCGAGGATGAGATGGTTGGACAGTGTCATCGAAGCAACCAACATGAATTTGACCCAGCTCTGGGAGGCAGTGGAAGACAGGAGGGCCTGGCATGCTGTGGTCCATGGGGTCACAAAGAGGACATGACTAAACGACAACGACAACAACAACTGTATTTATAGTTCATATTTACAAAGGTCTTCATCCCTGTTATTGTCATGTTGAATAGATGGGAGGAGGAAGTGGGGCTTTACAAAAATGCATCATAATTTCAGTCTGATGTTTTAGCTTTTTCATTTCTCAAAAAAATATTTCTATAGGGTAGCGGTCTTTCTTCCACAGTTTGTTTTAGTTTCAGTGCCTGTATCTTAGAAGGGTCCACATCATCCAAAAAAAAAAAAAGTCAAAAGCAATCTTGGATATTCAAAACCGTTGGTCTAATGTCAATTTGTTTTCTGGCATTGCTTGTTCTGTGTCTTCTCTGTAATTGTCTGGCAGTGGTTCAAAAATGCTCACCTCCATCAAGTTATCTTCTGTTAATTCTGCTAGCTTGGTAGCTTGGTGTCTATTAGCTCTTGAATTTATCCAAGATCTATATCTTGAAATCTTTCACACATACTCTGCCTTTTTGCCATACCCATGTTCTCTTCCATGATTCTCTTGGCTCTGTCTTAGGTCCTGACAAGTCATGCACAAAATCTGGAACAGGAATTTATTTATTTATTTTGGGTGGGTTGAAATCCATATATAACCAAAACTGTGCTGCTGAGACCTGTGCAATTCAAGAGAGAAATGTCTACAGAGGCTTAGATGAATGGGGATTGGAAGAGCGAGGTCAGAAGGAGTTGAAAATCAGGAAGTAGAGACAGTGATAACAGGTACTCATTTACTAACCTCATGAAAGAGTAACACAGCTGTGGGTGGACTGGTGAGCTGACTAACTTTAGGTCTATTTAAAGTCTCATCAAGAGAGTTCTGTCTCTTGATGAATGGCTTTGCAGTGATTTGGACTGCTGAACTTGTGGCACAGTGGTTAAACTGCAGTACTGCAGTGAAGATTCTGCTTATGAGTTGAGTTCCATTCAGGTAGCTGATTTGAGACTGACTCAGCCTTTCATCCTTCTGAGGTTAGTAAATTGTGTACACAGCTTGCTGTGGGGAGGGGAGGCAATATATAGCCTGCATCATTAAACTGTAAACTTTCCAGAGAGAGCTTTAAGGACGGTGATGTATAAGTAGCACACTTTGTTTTGTTTTTGCTTTTGAACACCCATCACAAATCCACACCACATTCCTTGCTTTCCTTTCCTTTCCTTTATCTCTTACATAGGATTTGGGAAAGTAACTTTTAATCTACAGATCCCAGAATGATTGTAAAAACCTCTGAAAATCTGGTCTAAATGCCTCCAAATGCCCTTTAAAAGTAACCTTTGAACGTAACCAGGGTATGTTATGCACCATGTATCGAGAGCTACTTCATAACAACTTATTTCATTACTTTTACCATAACTTTTTAACTACACAAGAATAACTAGTTGCAGGTCACCATGTTACTTGTATGTAAGTACTTCCAAGCGCTGGTCTGGAGATCGCTATCGGGTAGGTCGCTAAGGCAAGTTATCTCCCCCTAGACCTGCAGATAATACACCATCTTATAGCCTGCTAGATGCCTTGTGACACTGAGGACCCACAAGGAAGCTTAGCCCTGTATATCCTGATCAATTAGCAGCCTTAAGTGATGGTGGTGGAGGAGACTGGTGAGGTAGTGTTCCTCTCAGTCAGGTCTGCATTCCTTCAGAGTCACCTCTTGGTGCGGGGGCTACAGGGGTGGGGTGAGAGCCAAAACTGGATGAGATTACCTCTCTCTCTCTCTCTCTCTCCCTCTCCCCCCTCACCCAGCTTGGTACCAGTGAGAGGTGGATTTCTTTTGTCAGAGATCTGGATCTTTTGCTTGTTTTCCCTTCCTGCTCTAAACATCATCGTCATCGACCTTCCCTCTCCAGTCACAGCAATTGTATTTTTAAAGACCCTGAGTGCCTAACTGGAGTCATTTGGGGGCCTATGCCTTTGGTATCCCCCCACCCACCCACGCATCCCATCTCAAACTTGAAAAGGGAGCAGCATCAGGTAGAGGATGGTGCCAGTTAGGAATCATTTGGAGATGCCTGTTTCCGTAGCAACGTCCCAATTAGGCCTTTAAAAAGGAAGGAATGGGGTTGTACTTTGATCTCTCTTCTCTGGAGAAAAAGCTGGGATGTAAATAGGAGAGTGTGCATAAGTGTGTGTGTGTGCGTGCGTGTGCGCACGTGTGCATCCACACAGACATTTACATATACATGCTGGTGAGGGAGAGAAGCAGAAGTACAGAGAGAGAATGAATACAAATATTCAACAGGCCTCTGGCTTGTGAGTTTGAAAGGAAGCCTCTTCACCCTCAAGGAATGTCTGCTCCAGGTTTTTCAACCCTCCTTTTGTGCATCATGGCAGACGTCCCAAGTGGAACAGGAATTCTTTCCCTCCAGGCATCACGCAACAGGCATACCAGGTAGACCCTAAAAGAAGTGTAAGTTGATTAGGTGTTGCATGAAGCACTTTATGGTGTTTTTATGGAGTTTGTGGCTGCTAAGCAGGAATTCAGAGCCATATGACTTAGCTTAATCCCTCTCTTTCCCCTTTCCTTTAGGGGCCATATCAAGATCACCAGAAGACAGCTCAGCCTGAAAACAGGACTTCCTCCCAAGATGGAAAACCTTGCTGACAACTTCTCCTGCTATGACCCATCCATTGTTGGCTACCGCTACTTGTCAGTGAGCTGGGGCATTGTGGTGACAATCACTGGCACTGTGGGCAATATCCTGACCCTGCTCGCTTACGCAGCTGACACTAAGCTGCAGACACGCTTCAATCTCCTCATCATCAACCTGACCTTCGCTGACATCCTGTACTGCACCTTCTTGCAGCCCTTCTCGGTGGATTCCTACCTCCATCTCCACTGGCGGGCGGGTGCAGACTTCTGCCGCATCTTTGGGATGTTGCTCTTCGTCTCCAACTCGGTCTCCATTTTGACCCTGTGCCTCATCGCCATCAGCCGGTACCTGCTCATTGCCAACACCCCTCTCTTTGACCGCATCTTCTCCCGTCTTGGGGTGATACTCATCTCCCTGGCCACCTGGGTGGTTGGCATTGCCAGTTTTGCACCCTTGTGGCCGGTCTATGTCTTGGTGCCCAAGGTCTGCACCTGCAGCTTCCATCGCATCCGTGGCCGGCCCTACACCACCATCCTCATGGCCCTCTACTTTGTGGTGGGTCTCAGCTGTGTCGGTGTCTTCTACTTCCTCATCCATCGCAAAGTCAAAAGTGCTGCCCAGGCCCTGGATCAGTACAAGCTCAAGAAAGCCAGCCTAAAAGGAGCCCATGTGGCTGGAACCAGCTCGGCCACAGCTGGACGCTATCAAGAGCTCGACAGTGGGGTGGACAGTGCCAGTCCATCCCAGCATTCCTGTGAAGCCCTGCCCTCTGACTCCACTTCCAAGACCCTTGTTGCGCCAGCTTCTGACAGCAGTGCAAATACTCCTCCCACACCTCAGCCTGCGGCCCCACCTAAGAAAAGCACACCCAAGGACAGCAACTCCGAGTTCCGCCGAGTGACGCGCATGTGCTTTGTGGTCTTCATTTTCTTTGTCATCTGCTACATCCCCTTCATGCTAGTCAACATTTTTGATGCCAAAAACCGGGCTCCGACCGTCCTGCACATGATTGCTGCCAATCTCACATGGCTCAATAGCTGCATTAACCCAGTGCTTTATGCTGCCATGAACCGACAGTTTCGTGAGGCTTACAAAGGTGTGATCTACCGGTTTGCTCAGAAATTCAACAGGTGTTGTTAAGCTACTGGGATCTGGTCAGGTTACCTCCGTCTTCATGGAATGGACCTGTTTTCAGAACAGGTTTCTGAACCCTGGTTTGTCCTAGGGAATGGGATGCCGCCATGAAACTGCCTGGCTTTTCCTGCTGAAAACCTAATTCAGAGATCTTCATGGGTTGTTTCCCCTGATTTTTGCTACTGTATTTTGTCCTGTACTCTGTGGCCCACAGGTAGTAGGGAAACCCAACTGGATTGATTAAATGGACCTTGTTGGCACTGTGGAAATCTCCCTTTTGGATTTGTAGCCAGTGACAGTAGCATGGTTGGCCTTGCCAAGCTCTGGGTATGGCCAACATCCTGATAGGAGTAGGTCCTACGCAGCCCATGGACCTCATACATCCCAGCCTCCTAAAGGGAGTTTTCATCCCTTGATGCTGCCGCTGCCACCACAACCAACGGTGCTTCTGCTGTCTTCACCAGAATTACCTGGTCAAAAATCATCAGCCTAGCGAAAAGGCTATACAGTACCAGCCCTTCACAAGGGAGCCATTCTGACCTGGACATGTGATGCAAGAAGATACCCTTATGCCATGGCAAGCCGCCACTGCTGTCACCACCAAATTGTCTTGCAACTGTGACAGCTTAGGGGCCTCAACTCTTGCTACCACATTTTGAAAGCTGCTGTAATGGTGGCAGGAATTGTGGATTGGACAACAATACACAGCCCTTCACCATCCCTGGGAGCTTGCCCAGGCCTCTCCTACAGCAAATGTTGCTCCTTGGTGTGCATCCATTCATTGTCTCATAGAGGCATGTACATGCAATGCTACACAGCCTGCACTTTCCTCTTTCTTGTGAACAGATTTGTAAATGCATATTTATATTGATCACCTTTACTTGGCACTCGACTTACCCAAACTATGCATCTGTTTTATCACTTGAAGCACAAGATAGATCTTATTAACATCTATATGCTGACTTCCTTTCCACTCCGAGATGGTGCACAAACTTTCAGCCCTTCCTTTCAAATCCTTTGGTGGTTTTTCCCTCACTTATCTCTCTGATCTTATTATAACCCAATGGATATTTCATCAGAGGCTTTTAGTCACTCTGCTCCACCAGCCTCAGCCACCTAAACATCTTCTGGACTCACAGCCTCTCCCTTCCTCTATTGCTGCTTCCCAACCCTACACCCCCCCCCGACCTAGAACAGCTCCCTTTATTACATACATGATGCTGTCAATTTTAGTCACTCTGCTCCACCAGCCTGAGTCACCTAAACATCTTCTGGACCCACAACCTCTCCCTTCCTCTGTTGCTGCTTCCCAACCCTACCCCCCCCCCCCGACCTAGAACAGCTCCCTTTATTACATACATGATGCTGTCACTTTCCTTCATTTCAGATTGCCCTCCAAAAGCCATTGTTTCTGTGAAACCTATGACAGAACCCCTTGAAAGGGCATTTTCTGCTTCTGGAACACAGTTCCTTCAAAGTTTTGTGTCTGAGCAATCACATGGCAAGTAAAGCCCATATTGTCTCCTGATGATCAACCACAAAACAAGGCAAGCTCATTCACAGCTTTTATAGCTGAGGAAAACTAATGTGAGAGTTAAACAGACATTTTTTTCCTCTTAAGGTAGCACTGCCTCTAATGACTTGCTAACTGTACCATATAAATTGTCCCCAGAGGAGCTCCATAGCTTTCCCTTGTTTAATCTTCCCCTTTGTTTTCTCTCTCTGCTTACCCTTGAAGTTAAATTATAGACTGATGTTTTGCTGGATGAGGGACCTGGCCTCTTGTACTTCATCAACATCCAAGCACATAGATAGATGGAACTATATTTTATATTACTCATATCTTAAATAATTGTAAAATTACTTATGTTTTATATATTATTCAAACATGCATGTTTTATAGCCATATTTTCTGATCACGCTACCTCATGTCAAAAGTAAAACTGAGTGAGCAAATTCTTTAAATACACAGAGTGCCTGACTGTTGTACATATATTAAGGTAAAATTAGAAGCCATGGGGAGTATCTACTAGAGGAGTCTGTCGAAAGATGAACAAGCCAGATGAAGGTGGGCTTTTCTCTATGCAACAACATTGCACATCATGATCTTTTGCAGTGTTACAATGGATTCTCACAGAGAGGCACACAAGGAGGAAGGGAGGGATTCCCGGTTTGCATTACAGGCAATTCCTACACCAGGATGGACAAAGAGTGGCACCCCCCCGCCACAAAAACCCATTATGTCTCTGTCTCTTTTTGCTTAAAAATCTCCCTTGTGTCTTCTTAGGACATGAGGTAATTTTGCTATGGGGGGGTGGTGGAGCCCTGCCCTGTTTTTAGGGTGGGACTTCTTTGTTGTTCTTCCATCTGCAACAATGGAAATATATTTTTGTGGAGAAATTTGGCATTTCAGGCTTGGCTGAAAGGAATTTTAAGTGGTTGGTTTTTTAGTTGGGTTTTTGTGTGTGTGCATGCTCAATTTTGTTGTTCCTAGATTCTTCTCTTGTGTTTCCATTAGTATTTTATGATTACTAGTCAGCCTTCTTCATGCCTTTTTTTTTACATCAAGGCAGGCTATATATCTCAATCAATCCATCCATCCATCAGAGTTGCTCCAGCCCCATGACATTTGGGTTGCCCTTTTCCATCTCTTCAATAACCTTTGTATTCTGAAGTAACCTGAACTTCAGAGTGCAATCCTGACTGGACAATAAGACCACTGATTACCTGAGCTGAGCTGAGGCCGGCTGAAACAGTACTCAACCCAAACCCTTCCTGGCCTAGAGAACTTGGAAATTATCTATGCCTACCTTTGTTGAGGTCTAATTTTGTGCCAGCAGAGGGACTGTGTCCTTAAGCTGGGGGAAGATGTTGATTGGTGGAACTTGTCTCTTCTCTACATGTATAGTCTGGTTCTATATGTTTATCAAATGCTCCTTTCCCCAGGTGCCTTTTTTTAATGTAGGGCTGATAACAGGACTAGGTGCAACTGGGTAATAACCAAGTGTAGCCATTTTAAAGATTTCTCTCACATTTTGAAGTCCAGTATCATATATCTGTTGTTCATCGATCTGGTAAAAATCTCCTTTTGCATGTACATGTTGTTTAATTGATGCTTAATTCTTAAATAAAACAATGAATCATCTTTTGAAACCTGGATATCTCTGGCCTTGACATGTTTCTTTCAGTCAGTTCCATCTTTACTGTGGTTTCTTCTGCAATCCTGTTGTCTGTTAAATTGCTCAAGAGCTGAGGTTGCCAACGCATCATTTCCTGCAACTTTACAGCGAGAAAGTCTTCCCTTGTTTTTATTTCTTCATTATGAGGCTGCTTGAAAAAAGAGCACATAAGGTTAGAAAAAAGACCCCTTATTCAGAGTAATGAAAGGGGGATCCATTATTTCCAACAGTCCACACAGAGACTAAAATCCTGCAACTTATGTCCTCCTGTTTAATGCAATCACCCTAATATTGTTAATTGCCCTAACAGAAAAAGTGAGTGTAGGCATGTGTTCCTGTGTGCTGAGCCACATGATGCACCACACAATAGCAAATACCTACACTCACTTTTGTTAGTTGTCTCCTGACATTTACAGTGATTGCATAAAAAATACAATAGGATTTTCATTATTATTTGATCCTGCATCAGAGGCTCCAGTTGTAACGTCATTACTCTATTGCTCCCCTCTTCCCCCCCTCTTTTTTTTTTGCTAACTAATGGCCCTCATTTTAAGATGGAAGAATCATAGAGATAGTTGATGGGCTGGACTTCTTTATTGCCTATTCTATTTATGGGAGTTTATCGTGCAAATAAAAAGAAAACATTCAGTAACATTAACCATGCAATTGAGCAACAACGATGATTTTTTTTAAAAATGATGTTATGGTATCTCTCTTTACAATATAACTGAGTGTTTCTTTTGTGTCAGTTTGTGAAAAAATAATCATCTGTGAATAAACATTGACACAGCTCAGCATGCAGTCATTGGCATATAATGAACATCAAACAAATGAGCAAGAATCACGGTGTGATTCACTGTGCAAAATCTCTTTCCCACAGGGTTCTTTCACTGATAGCATTTGTTTATATAAAAGTACTGGGTTCTGCATTGATGCTATCTGTGTTTTACACCATCCAGAGGACATTCCTCTTGTCTTGCATAATTCAGTGCTTTCCCCCCTCCCCATGGCTTCCTGGTCCTTTTCATTCCTCCTGGATCATTGCTTATTTTTAGTATTGCTTTGTACAAGAGGATCCAGTTAAGTCCATTTGAAGTTGAGAGCTTTTCCAAACGAGAGTCTGCAAATGAGAGTCTCTTAGTCTGAAGTTTGCCAAGAACGGAAAATACCACTGTTCCGGGTGGTATTTTCCACTTTGTTTTTAGCCACCACTGAAAACGAAACAAAACACTCTAGGAGAAGAGGAGGAGGTCAACAAGAGGTGCTCGTTTCTTATACCACTCCTTAAAGATTTCTTAAACAGAAGCAGCATTCTCAAAAAGATGAATTTTTAAAAAGAGACGTTTGGGTGTGAATACAGGGAAACTGCCCTCCTTTGGCACCAGGTGATAGAAAGGGATGGGGTGGGAGAAATGCTCTGCCTGGAAAAGTTCTCTATCTTTTGACTGACTTTCTTCCTTCAGTTTGCTTCCAAGATGCCCTGATAGTTTGGATCTACTTGACATCCCTTCCTAGGAGAGAAGAAACTAGGGGGTGCTGATAAAATGGACTAAGGCAGTACTATCACTACCATAGTGCCATGGTATATTTTAGATTACTGTTATGTGAAGTGTGTTAAGGTGAGGAGGGAAACCAATGTGACAGTCATTTGTTTGTTTTTATTCACGAAGGCTTTCATGACCAGGATCTAATGGTTGTTGCAGGTTTTTCGGGCTCTTTGGCCGTGTTCTGGAGGTTGTTCTTCCTAACGTTTTGCCAGTCTCTGTGGCCAGCATCTTCAGAGGATTGGAGTAGGAACTCTGTCCATGCTCTGTTGATAATCTCTCCCTCTCCCCCTCTCCCCCCTCCCTCATCAAAACAAAAATATGCTATCTCCTGAAAAAAGACAAAGCCGTTCCCACAGCTATAAATACTATCTAACAAACACCAACAGAGCATGGACAGAGTTCCTACTCCAGTCCTCTGAAGATGCCAGCCACAGAGACTGGTGAAACATCAGGAAGAACAACCTTCAGAACATGGCCAAAGAGCCCGAAAAACCCACAACAACCAAACATTTGTTTGTTTGTTTGTTTGATTGATTTCTATACTGCCCATCTGACCAATGGTCACTCTGTGCAGTTTACAACAGTGACAATAACATAATATAATATAAATTAATAAAAATGTAATCAAAGTGAAAATTAAAATTAATTCAATATTACATTTAAAAACAGGTGGCAATTAAAAATGGTAGGCTGATACGCTCAGTGGCACTTCAGATGGCATGCTTTGAAAAGCCTGCCCAAATAAACAGGTTTTGCGGGGTTTCTTGAAGGACCCCAGGGAGGGGGCTAGACAGATTTCAGGTGGCAGCTCATTCCAGAGCTGAGGAGTGTCTGCGGAGAAGGCCTGGCCCCTCGTTTTCTCCCTCCGGGTTAACGCCCTCAGCCGTCCAGTCTGGGAGGGAGGGAGGGAGGGAGGGGCAGACCGCTATTCAAGTTGGAGTTTTGCCATGTACTGAGGTCCCAAACTCAAGTGATGGGATGGTATAAGGAATTTTTCAGAACATACTCATTCTGATTCTCACCCTAGCATAACTCCATCATAATATATAAATATGCCATAGACACTGTTCCAAGACCTCTATTCAGAGCATGTTACCATATTCTTGAGAGACTGAAGGATGCCTACATTATAATGTATAATAAATTTATAAAATAGAATATACAGGCGTACCTTGGTTTACGAAGGAAAATCCATTGAAAATAATGCCTTGGTTTACGTGGTGTTTTTTTTTCGCAGTACGAAGCAAGTTTCCCCAGGATGCCTTGTGCCTGGAGGTTTATAGCGCCGCCCCCGTTCCTATGGCAATCTGTGTTTCGGTTTATGAATTTTTCACACTACATAACATCCCAGAGAATGCATTAGATTCGTAAACTGAGGTACGCCTGCAAATATTATGAATTGTCATCCTTTTAAAAATTTCAGGAGCATTTATTCACACTAGCTAGCACTGTGAGCTTATAATCTTAGCTCAAGGTGTGTGTGTGGGTCCGTGTGTGTCCACGTGTGTGTGTGTGTGTCTGTCTGATTTTCTATATGTTTGGGACAACCCACCAACAAACCTTTTCTGCCTTCTATGTGTTTTGGAGCTGATGTCCAAAACATATAGAAGGCACAATCCTACCATCCTGGTACTAATAAAAGATGCCCTCTTGTCATTCTTTCGAGAGGGTAAGATTATTGACTCCCTATCCTTTTCCTTCTGTGCAGGGAGGAAGCCACACCTGATGGCATTTTCCCTTCTTGGCAGCTTTCAAAATTACAGAGGTTTTCTTAAGGTCTGGATCTGTGAAGCCTAATCATAAAATGTGATGTTGTATACCCGCCTTTGTGTTTGGAAAACCAATGAAAAGTGATCAGAATCTCATGAACTTTGTGCCTTTTATTTCATTTTTGTTCTTTTATTGTAAGGTGTGTTCAGTTTAAGCCGCAGTGATTCAAAGTTCAAAGCAATTTTCATGTTATTTACCGGAGGAAAATATATAAATCTTGCCAAAGCGTTAAAAGGCAAGATTTTGTCATGTTTGCCAAATGACAGCTGAGCAAGGAATGCCACCTTTTAAAAAAGGACAACAATTATTTTAACAGTGGCACAAAAGGTGAAAGTGCAACAGATGTAGCTGTTCACCTATAGCTTTTCTGTGCAAGCTTGATATGGTGCTTGGTATACCAGATTCATAGGATTGGAGTCAACTAGGTTCACCCAAAGTTCACTGAGTGACTCTTGGCCAATCACGCCATCTTCATAGGGATGTTGTAGAGGTAGAAGTGGAAGGAGGAAACCATGTACAGGACCCTGAGTCCCTTTGAGAGGAAGAGTAATAATGAGAACATAAACCAAATAAACAAAAGCAATTCCATCTCCCTTTGAAGTCTTGCCTGCCTTGCCTCTGTGACATCATTATAAGGGCCCACCCCTAATCTCAGATTTCATGTTAGGGGAAATGCTGTTGACCCGGCAAGCCTACAGCTTGGACATCTTGAAACCTCCAATTTACTATTTCCAGCCTGGCTCTTCTGCCTGGAACAGCAGCATGGTGGGTGAAATGTATCCCACTGTCTATCTCACTCCAAGAAATGTTACAGACAAGGTTGTTATTGGGGGAAGCTGGGCAAAGTCTCCCTTAATGGGCCTACTGGGATGGCTTGGCAGTGGGCATCAACAATAGTGCTCACAGGAGTGTCAGTCAGTTTCCCACAATGCCCCTGCACTAATGACAGTGTGGGTTATTGTAGGAAATTAAAGAGGTACAGCCAGTCAGCTGGAACTGATTTGGGGTCTGGAGTTAGGATGGTGAAGTGGAAAAGAGGACTGGAGTTGTGCATCTTTAATACTTGTGATTTCTGATTTATAGCTCACCAAATAAGATCAGCCCTCTGCTGGACTGAAACATTACCATGGATGCACAAATGTCTGTTTTGTTTTTGATGGCCCACAAAGGGGATGGAGATGCCAACTTGACAGATAAAAGCAAACAAACCAAAAACCCTGCTCTGCCCCCCTGCAAGAAGTAAAATACTACTACTACTACTACTACTACTACTACTACTTATTTATTTATTATTAAAAAACCAACCAAACAACCAAACAAACAAAACCATCAACTTAGCTGCCTTGATTTTAAGCCTTTAAAGGGGGGGGGGTTGCTACAGAAATCAATTTTTTTCCCATGAAATGGAGATTAAGGAGAACACCAGTGATTTACTGTAGATCACTGGTTCTTAACCTTGGGTTACTCAGGAGTTTTGGACTGCAACTCCCAGAAGCCTTCACCACCAACTGTCCTGACTGGGGTTTCTGGGAATTGCAGTTCAAAAACATCCGAGTAACAAAGGTTAAGAACCACTGCTGTAGATCATGCTGGGTTGAAGAGACAGGTACTTGGGCTGCTTAAAAAATTATGTATCCTTTTCTTTTCCAGATCTCTGTACATACAGGTATGTATCCTTTTCTTTTCCAGATCTCTGTGTTCTCTTCCCAAACTTTCCTGCCACTGTTTGTTACTCTCTGACCCTCTCCCCTCCCCAAAACTGCTTGCCATGGCACTCTGCCATATATTTGTTTTAGGCTGCCATGCTGTGCCATTAGCAGTAAAAGGACAGCCAGAAATTCAACAGGGGTATCCCTTCTTGCACCTGTTGCAATGCTGTCTAGCAGTTGAACTTTAGTGGGAAGCACAAGGTTAAACTTTCATCTTTTAAGTTTTCATCAGCAGAAATAAATTTGGCAAACAAGAGATTCAGCCCCCCGCCTTCCACTGCCCACTTAGGGCACAGAGCAGGCTTTGGACACTCTGTCCTCTTCTGAAGAAGAAGAAGTGCAGAACATGGGGAAATCCCTCTCGCGGTTGTGAGCGGAAGGCTGCTGGGCAGCTGGCTGTTGTCTCTTGGGCAATACATTTACTGGGCTAATATGCTGTGTAAGAAAGGCACAGGCAGGGTATGGGCAGGAAGTGAGTGAAAGGAACTTTCCTAGGGTGAGTAGGAAAGCTTGTGGCTGGTTGCTGACTCAGGATCATGAAGTTTTCTGGCTGTCAGATTTTCAACTGGTTTATGTAATCTGTGGTGCTGGGCCAGCATGAGCACTTCATAGCTAACAAGGTGGGGGGGGGGGAAGGAGAGAGAAAATATTTCCCTACAATTGTTCATTTCCTTCTTCCTGAAATGTTTGTCTACAGCGCAGGGGCCAGGTTCAAAGCACGTATACCCTTTATTGTTTGTTCCTCCCCACCTCAGGTCCCCTCTACAATTTGTTGAGGGTTTCAGCAGCCGGATGCCATCTTCTTTCCCACCCACACCCTCCAGGTATATCTTCCCTGCCATGACTGACACCTGCAAAGCTCACTCCGTGTTCCTGGAACAGTCCGTCGCCGTGTCTTTCAGACAAGCCTTCCTCACCAGGCTGTCCAGGAAAGCTACTACATGTTGTCTTGGATTTGGCAGAGGAAGGGTGGGCTACAAATGTAATTAAGGATATTTAAAGGGACACAGGATTACTTTTTTTCACCTCAGAATAGAAGCAATATTTTCAAGATGGGTTTTGTTTTATTTTTAAAGAAAAGATCCTGTGTACCATAGGTAATGCATAGACCAAAGTGGGCAGCTCCGGGGCCAGTTTTCAGTCACTTGGTGTCTTCCGTGAACCATATAGTTCAATAAAAATGCCAGAAAAGAAGGCAGGTATCCATTTAGATATTGATATCTGGTTGGTTTTTTCATGGTAAAGGATGCTGATACCCATTTTAAGGGTGAATCTGTTCTCTTACAAATGTCTAGGGTCATATGGCTTTCTGCCTGTCTGTCTGCAGGTGAAAATATTTTTGGCAGGTGAGTTAGGGTAGCAAGTGTTGCTCAAGAAGATGGTTGGGTGGGGGATGTGTGCATAGCTCTCCCCCCCCACACACACACAGCTGCCTATCCTAACACAGACTCATCTCAATCCCAGAGGTCAGATATTTAGTTATTCATGAATAGGAGTAGGAAAGGAGTCTGCAAAATGGCATGCAGGCCCTATAGGCTCAAATGTGATTCCTCCAGTATCATTGGACAGGGGTTACCATTTGTTACTTTGCCTCAAGCAGCAAAACACTGGCCTGGCCTTGCATTTGACAAAAGCCAGAGAGAGGGACCTCTGATTGAAGAGATATATTCCTTTATTCTCTGATTATACAAATTTTACTTCCCCTGGAAGTTCCAGTCATGCCAGGAAAGGAACCAGTCTCTTCCAGCTTCTCCAAATAGCAGGCAGGAAACAGCAGCGGGGGCAACATGTGACATCTCATCAAATAGGAAGCAGAGAGGCGCCTCGTTAGGGCAATTGCAACAGTTGGGCTATTGCGTGGTGTGGACATGGAAGTGGTGAGGGCTGGGTGGGTGAGACACCCAGGAATCCCCAGAGTTTAAATATCAAGAGTTGCCACTGAAGTCAACCTCAGCCAGTCATGCCCCTTCAGACCACGGAAATAATGAGGCACAAATATTTCAGTAGTTACCTTAATATGTTGTTGTTTTTCGCCATCCTTGAAGACACCATGAAGTCATATCCTAAAAGTAATGTAACAAGTGAGAACAAAGTCGCACTAGCGCTGAAAGAAGCAATGGTTTCTTGTGATTGAGATACAGTATTTTTTTAATTAAGGGGAAGAAAGGGAGAAGCAAGGAACACAGTGAATTCCTTTTGCAACACTGTAATACATAATAACAACAAACTAAATAGTTACAATGTTAGAGCTAACTTGTGCTACTTTAACTAACTTGCACTTAAAGATAAACAAATGTTATAATAAGTCCTGAGGATAATCTATTGAAACAACAACAACAAAAATTAACACCCTAAACACTGTAACATTGGCACATATGTAGAGGCAGCATCCAGGCTTCTTGAATGCCGCACCGCTGTGCCAGTGGCAGCATAGTGATGGCGCTGGCATAACTGGAGAAGCTAAGCCCCCCCCACACACACACACACTGGGCATGAACTGAAAACCAAACCAGTTTGTTTTTCAATTTCCTGGTTGGTTCGTGGTTTATGGCCAACCATGAACCATCACGCACCACCATTTTCCAGGTTTATGTCCATTTCTATTTGTGAATGTATTTGAAGTCCCTCTAGCCTGCAGATACCATATTATGCCATAGCCTTCTTGACACTGGGGTTTAGTAAGAATGAGGCTTCATTGGGGCTCAGGACCAGACCCTCTTCTAACAAAAATGCTGAAGGTCAGCTCTGTGGTGTAAGATGTGTGGCATTCACCCTAAGTGATATGCATTATTCATGTTATATGTTAATATGGTTGTGAGGCAGAACCACGAGAGGTGCTGAGAGGTGGAGCCTGGGAGAGAAGGCATTGAGTGGGAGTCAGAGAGAGCTAGAGAACAGGATAGTTTGGGGTTTTGAGGCAGAGAGTGTTTAAGGAGTGATTAGGCAGCGATTAGTCAGAGTGTGACCTGTATTGATTAAGAAAGAAGAGATTAAAGTGAAATATTGAAGCTTTGTGGAACTTTAAGAATGTGCTTAGAATTATTCCTGAAACCACGTGTAATCAATAAACCTGTTTCTGTTAAAAAGTCAGTCCTGGATGGACCTTAGTCTTTCATAAGAAAAATAAGTTGATAAAAAAGAGATCAACTGGTGGCAGCGTGTCAAGGGGTGTGTTGGGATACCTTCATGAGCTCTGGGTTTGGTGAAGCAAGCAGGGCCCATGGGGTAAACATCACAATAAGCAAATGGGGAGTGACTTTCCTGCCCCAGACAGTAGCTTGTGACCGGAGACAACCTCACTGTTAGACAGGAGGACAACCTTACTGTCTCAGCTGGCAGGTGCTGGGGACAGAAGAGGCATTCCTTACCATGGCAGTTCCTTCCTGTTCAGGATAGAGTTCAATGTGCCATGAAATTAGTCCAGCATCTTTCAACAAGGCTGCTGCCCTTAAGTATGAGGGAGGGACCCATCCTGTTGCCAGTATTAAAGAAGGTTTCAACTGCCAGGCTGCCAGCTTCTGTACATGGAATGGAGGGAGATGCCATCAGGTCTTTTACCTCAGGAAGCAAACTGCCATAGGCTAGCCCTGGTTGTGACTGACCCCCCTCCCCCACCCATCTCATTCTCTGTAGCCCAAATTAGAATACATGGGACTCTGGGTCAGAAGGTGTGGCTTTCTAGTAGGGCTCAGACCCCAAACCTGACCCATAAGATATTAAAGAGTACTTGACAATTCTTCTGTAATCTACAATAATAGTAGAACTGCAGTGCTGGAAGGGACCCCATGGATCATCAAGTTCAGCTCTTGTCAAGAAGGCCCAGAGGGGAATTGAACTCCCAACCTCTGTCTCTGCAGCCAGATAGTTCAACCACATAGCTATCCAGCTGTTCAAAGGGAGAGTCACTCTCCTCCTCCTCCTCTTCCAGCATCCATTTCCACCACCTCCTCCACCACCACCCCTCTCCCTCCCTCCTCCCTCCCCACATACACACACTCATTGGCAATGGTGTTGCTGTTTCAGAATCTGCTGCTTGACAACCTCTTGAGAAACATATTCTTGATTAAAGTTGTTTGCCATGCAGCCTGTGGAACATTGGCTAGAGAGCATGTTTCAGACTCCAGACTCTCCTCTTCAGCTTTTAATGGTCACCCAGTAAGCAGAAGACGATCTTGAGATCCAATGCATGCCTCAAATTCTGATAAGCTACCAGCAATTCTAGTTTGAAATACAAAAATATTGGGGGGAGGGGGAGAGGGAAGTGTCACAGAGAAATGTCTGGAAACAAATAGTGAGCAGATGGTGCCATCTTGTGGCAGAATAGCCTCAGAGACGCAAAGGGGTTGTGATTATGCTTTGGGAGTCTGACGCAATAAATCCATTTGGTGTCCTGGAAACTTCACTGGTGGAGCAAACAGCTGCCAAACGAAGAGGAAGGGGATTTTTGGTGGGCAGGGGGAAAGGGGATGGGGTAGGGGAAGATATTGCGATTAAGCCCTCCTCCTTGTCCCCATGTCAATATATGGCTGCAACGCCGGGAAATAACGTTCTAATCACGATCACCCACCTGTTTTGTGTGGTTTGGCTTCTATGCCTGGGTCTGTTGATTAGGGAAACAAAAAATAGACAAGTGGGTTGGTTATTTTTCTTAACCCATTTAACACAGATTTGTTCACAATGTTCTCTATACCACTGAATTGTCAGCTACTATTAATGGCAGGAGAGAATAGACATCTTAGAAGCTGTTCAGACAGTCATGTCTGCCCATGGAGGCCATAGGATGGGAGCAGGAAGTCCTCTTGTTCTAAGGCTGCCGTGAAATGCTACTGTCATGTACTCAGGTTTCATATTAGTTTATACCCCAAAGAGACCCCCCTAGAATTGCCTCCCCAGAGATTGATATGAGTGGAATCCAAAGAGCCTGTGGTTAGCAACACCTTTATTGGACTTTAAGATGTTACAAATAAAGTACATATTTAAGTTCTCTATCAATATGGAAAGAACGGAATATAGCCTTCATTTTGCTTTGTCAGCAATGTGACTTCATGAGCTAAGTGTACTATATCTGGCCCAATTTTATTGAACAACTCGCCTTAATCTCAAGTTTTATACCATCTTTGCCTGATGAAGAGTGCTGGAAAACTCAAAAGCTCACCTTGTTTGTAATTCTGTGACCCATTAATGGTATTTCCCAAACTCAGATGTTGGACGAATGAGAAGACCATTTTTTGTGTGTAATAACACCACATAATCATTCCAGTCTACAGCCCTGGGCATCATAATCCGAAGCAATAACATTCCTCACCTCCGGTGGCACTGGGCTGCTTGCAGTTTTCTCCCCAGAGCAGGCCTGTTTATAAGCAGAAGTTCAAATTACATCTTCCTGCTTGGCTACTTTGTAGGTGAGGAAAGATTGTAACTGAACTCAGCCATTTGGTGCTAGCCTTCGTATAATATAACAGTAAGAAATTCTACACCAGGGCATGTATGTATTGATGTAGTTACTGGAAGAATGTTCATACCTGGATTAGATTCAGTGATGGAGGCCCAGATTTACTGTTTGCAAATAAATCTCTCCTGACACACCTTGTACATTACAGAGCTTGGTATAGCAACTTTTCAAAAAGAGTTTATGCATTACTTATGTTCTGAACAGCCAGACTGCCCTTACTGGAAGCAGTTCCAAACTGCATTAGATCTGCTTTGTTCTCACCAGCATAGAAGGAAAAATACAGTGGATTACTCTCTGGTTCTCTTGAGAAGACAATTCTAACGAAGCATCTTGAAAATGCTTGTGGAAATGCAAAAGATGAGACAAAATAATAATTTGCCACATAGGGTAGATAAGGGTTAAACACTTTAAAAATTCTGGTCAAAATCCTTCTAGAAATTCTTCAAAATATTAACAGGAAACACTCGAAAGTAATGTGTTCAGTGTTGTGACCAGCCCAGCCCAGCTAGTCACTTTCTGACTTGCCTCTTCTTTTCCCTGGGCTAACCTTAAGTGCAATTATTTGAGCTAAAGCAAAACAAGAAAAATGATTTCTTTCTTTAAAAAGCTTAGAGTGGACTAGATAGGCGGGATATAAAATTAATTAATTAATGGTTGCACGGCACATTTTTAAATTTAAAGTTACAGATAGTCAAAGTAAGCCTGCCCAGGCTAGACTTTGATCTTTCTTTGATACCTAACTATTACATTCTGCATCTTCCTGGAACCTTCATCTCATCTTCATCTATAGTTACAATTTAATGATTTCTCTCAGTTCTTTAGTAATCTAAATGTAGAAACATTTCTTTCACTCTCAGATACGCTCTCAACTGCTCTTTTTTAAACCGCTCTTCTCTCTAACCCCTCATGTGGTCAATTCTTCTTTTTTTAAATATATAGGTCCTCCTGGCAAATCTTGATTGGCTCTTCTCTGGCATCCATCCATCCAATCAGCTTGTTACAGTTGCTGCATAAACTTTAATAACGTTTACAGCTGTTACTCCAGAGCTAACATTGTCAGTACTGATCACATTGCTTTTGGATGTAACTTAGTAACACCCGCAGTGCCCTGAAAGCAACTAGTTACATACAGCTGCATTATCTGTAACTAGTTACTTCCTAAATTCCGATAAATTGGTAGCACTGAAGATACCAAGCAGGGATGTATAGAAGCCGCCTCAACCCAGTACACACCAGAATAAAAGGCACAAAGATTGGGGTTAACCTGCCCAGGTTACTTTGGTGACTCTCTGGCCAAATCCTTGATAGTATTGCTACAGATCTGGTTTTCTATGAAGACCCCATTCCTGTGAATGAGGCAACACAGGCTGCAAGTCTGAACAAAACAGAAGGGCACCAGTCTGCAGAGCTGCATATTCCATTTTATTTTTATCACTTCATTTTAATTTCTTCCTTTTGTTTCTTCTGCCAAGAGAAAGCCCCCATCAACTTTCTAAGGCAGTCCCATGGGAAGGGACTGAGTGAGGACTTCAAAAGGGCAATGGGCATAGTCATCTTCAATTCCTTTCTTTAACAGGCAGCCCAAGGGAGTCTGTGGCCCCAGCCTTGGTGTTCCCTGATGTCGTGGTCTCCCCCCGCCCTCCTTACAGTCACTCAGCTGCACTACTCTCGCTTTTCTTGGGGTGTGAGCACCTGGGGGAAGTCAGATGTGGTGGAAGTTTGCTAAAACCATCCCACTCCCCCAAAATCTGTTTAGTGTCCCGATTCCAAGATGTTCTGGACAGTTTCATATAAAAAGGAAATTCCTAAAGCTAGGCATTGAGAACAAGAGCACCAATCCTGTGGGGTACCTACCTGGACAAGGCTAGGAGTGGTTTTAGTAGCTTCAACCCTCTGAGTCAAAATGAAACAACTTGTTTGGAAGGATTTCTGCAGTCTATTGAAAAAGGAAAGGAAAGGAAAACAATTCAAAAGAATAAAAGGGTAAATGTTCTGAACAGTTACAGTTTTTCAAAAGTTAGGAATAATTGTGGATATACAGCTACAGCATTCAGGAAGAAAACACAGGAAAACAATAAAAAATAACCCACCCTATCTATACTCACACCTGAATGGAAAGACAGTGTATTTCTGGGCATGCACAGAGTGCAGACTCCCAATACAGCTTCTTAAGATGGCAAATTGACTCTGAGTCTACTTGCAAATCAGACTGAATCCTCTCAGGTAGCAGCAAAGCAAAGCATGATTCTCCTCAGAGGTATATTAGGCTGATAAACTAATTTATCTACTCCCTTTTATACAAGTTGAATGAGCGGTTAAGCACCTATTGCCAATCCCTCTTCAGTCCCTTTCCTGTTCTGACAGGATGAAGGGCAACTTTCTGATGTAATGCTATTCCCATTGCCAGATCCACACTACTCCCTGGGAAAAAACGTGCTGAGTTCTTTCAAGTCTGAGTTACAGATATAGCATTAGTGTTCCTTTGAGAGCCGCTTTGATATGTCCTCTGATTAAGATAAGCACTGAGGCATCTGCTCCTGAACTCAGTCCTTCCTTTGAAGTGTTCAATAGCAGGAGATTAGATGAAGGTATGAACTCTCTGTTTCCACTCTAACCTTTGCTTCCCAAGCTCAGAGAAGCATAGCAGGTTCCAGAAACTCAATTTCATATCTCATATACTCTAAATTTTTACTTTTTTCACACGTGGATCTCAAATTAATGATTCTGCTGCCTCAAGACTTTAATGACTGAATCAGTGACTTTGCAGTAGGAAGATGGAGAACATAATCTCCTTCATCTTCCTGAGTTTTTCTTTTTATATATTTCTAACAACTACAATGGACTGTTTAATTTAACACAAGGGATCTGAGGGTGTGCCCTCCACCTCATTAATTCATTTAGGCTCTTACTGCTGGATAGCTCTGTGGTTTTAAGTATCTGGCTATGGAGCCAGAGGTGGGGAGTTTGATTCCCCACTGTGCCTCCTTGATAGGGGCTGGATTTAATAATCAATAGGGTCCCTTCTAGTTCTACATTTTAAAGATTATTATTCTAATATTATTATTGTTGTCTCATGGTTGTCTCAGAGACATAAATATCACTGGAGGCATTCAAGAGAAACTTAGACAACCATCTGGCAGATATCCTTTGTTTTCCTGCACTGAGCAAGGGGGCTGGACTTGATGGCCTTGTAGGCCCCTTCCAGTTTCATTATTCTATGATTCTATGATCATCTGTGGTTTGGTTTTTACATATTTGTCCAAAGACAGTGTACATCTCTATTGTTGAGGAGATCAGCTGTTGCCAATAATAAGAAAATTAGGCTATGTAACAACTGTTTGCATCCATCATTAAAAAGAAGAAACAGCCCCTAATGAGGTGACATAGGTTGTTTGTTTTGTTATTTGAGAGATGTCATTGGAAATGGCAGTCTAAAATACTTGCAAGTATTTATAGGCCCATCAAGCAAGGAATAAACTACTGCTGACCTGACAGCCTCTCCAGCAGCTTGGGAAGGGATTTGTGTTGATGCGATTTAGTTTCACTGGCGTCAAATGGCATCTCTGTCTTCATGTGAAATGTGTTCCTCTGATGGCTGCAGAGACAACCTTCACTGGAAAGAATTGCTTTGCTTAAGAGATCTAACCAGGTACTGAGTTATAACTCTGACCACTTTCAGATTGGTACCACACCACTCCTCCTCCCCTGCCACATGATTATTCTATTCTTTCCTAGCTATTTGGTGGAAGCTTCCAGAGATTTCTGTATATGCTGCCATCTCCAGAGGGGCTTCCCATGAGGGTGATACAAGGAACCTCAACCTTCCTGTCTAGTGTGGAGGTAGGAAGGAGGAGCTACAGGTTGCTTCTACCACAGATGACTCATGATGGGGCACCTTCACCCCTGTTTTCCCTAAAATAAGACCTAACCTGAAAATAAGCCCTAGTATGATTTTTCAGAATGCTCATAATATAAGCCCTACCCCCAAAATAAGCCCTACTTGAGTGAAATCCCACCCTCCGCTATTGTGCAGCAACCAGAAGATGACATGACTGTAAAATAAAACATCCCCTGAAAATAAGGCTTAATATGTTTTTTGGAGCAAAAATTAATATGCAGTAAGACCCTGTCTTATTTTCGGAGAAACACGGTAGTCCACTGTCTGCCACTTTGCTACCCAAGGTGAAGTCGCAGAAGGCCCCATTGCCCAACCTTTTCACACATTAAGTACACAGTTCTGCAATCACTTCTCCCTGAAAACCAGCAGTAGGTGGCTAGTGCTTCAGGAAGTATGGAGTCCTTGAAGAATGACCAACAAAGCAAGCCCTCATGCTAAAAAAAAATTGGAGTTTCCAATATGCAGCATAGAGTGAAGGACTAGGACTACAATAGTCTTTGCAACAAACCTGGCAGTAATGCCCATTTATTCAGAAGTAACCACTCCTGAAGATAGTGGTTCCACATCAGAATAAATAGGCAAAGAACAAAGTTTGCTTGCCTATCTAGACCCCTTGTTGAAATAAAAAGGCTAAGGTAACATAATCCTAATACAAGTCCCTGATCAAAACATACTCGTTTTCATTAGCAAGAGGTAAGGTCTATTTTTAAAATTTATTCAAAGGAAAATAATATTGTGGAATTTGTTGGAAAAGCAAAAATGTCACCACTAACCTTATTACTTCACCAGCATGGCACAAGCAAACATTTATGATTGCTCTACTTTTTACCCAGACAGTTTAATCGCCCCACTGGCTGGATAGCTCAGTGGTTTTGGTATCGGGAGTTCAATGTCCCCACTATGCATCTAGGGAGAAGAGTCACCTTGTGTGACCTTGGCCAAGCTGCACAGCCCCAAAAGTGCTTGTAGAAGAGAGGAAGGGTAACTCACTTCTGAGTATTATCTAGCTCGAAAACCCTGAAAAGGGTACATTCTAAAGCACATCATCACGATGATGTTACTTGCAAAGTGAATATGCCATTTGGGAGCCCAAGCATAGGGAGTTGGGTGAAAAGGTCTCCTACTCTTGTAAAATAATAATAATAATAATAATAATAATAATAATAATAATAATGATGATGATGATGATGATGATGATGATGATGATAATAATAATAATAATAATAATAATAATAATAATAATAATAATTCAGGGGTTAAAACAGTTCCATCAATATAGGATGTTGAACTCATGTGCTCAGTGTGATGATGTGACTTGTTAATTCTGTGGCACAACAGGGGGCATCACTGTTACTGTTAATTGTTTTGATGTCAACAACAATTGTGATTTTTTGTGTGTAGTTAGTAATGTTTATTATAACTTCAAATTAGGTGTTTTTTTAAAAAAAACATATTTTTGTTTTAATTAAAAAACAGCTGGAATCCTCTTGGTGATTTACATGTGCATACATTAAATTCCATAACTCACTGCACTGAACTACCACTCATGAATGAGGAACTGGGCACACGAGCAGACGGCCACACATTGCACAATCAACTCTTCACCTCATAACATAAAACCCCTGATTACTTGCAGTTTCCCAAGGTGAGCTACACAGTTTAACTTACACCCATGTAAATCACCAACAGGATTCTGGTTAATAATTTAAAAGCAAAATGCTAGTATTGTCTTATTAATGAATAATGTAAAGGGGGTTCTTTTTCCGAATAGTGACTAATGTAATAACAACAAATGACTTTACAATGTAGTAACACTAAAGTGAAAACATTTTAAAGCTGAGTGTGGCCTTCCAGATGTTGTCAAACTGCAGTTTCCATTAGCCGTAATCAGAACGGCCAGTTATGGGAGATAACAGTCCAGTATCAAGAAGACCAAATTCTTCCAACCATGCTTTAAATTAATATTTACAAGTTCTGCCCCCATGACCCTAGCCCACCCACCCCCCAAACCCACAGTGGCCAAGAGGGCCTGTGCATATATATGGGCTGCAAGGGAACTTGCCCAACAGAAATCAGAGATAGGAGCCTTCCTGTGGCAAAGACTGGAGCCCTACCAGTAGACATTAGGAGGTGGCTGTTTCAGGCAGCAGACCTAAGAGATTAGCAGTGAGGTGCTAGAGGACCCAGCCACCTGGCTGTCTTAAATTGCTTTGCTCTCCTTGGGTGGAGAAGGGCAAACCACTGTTAGCATTGAAGAAAGCCCCCACTCCTGCTCAGGTCAGCTTTGATCCATCCATCATGCCTTGGAGCCTCCATGGGCCACTCTTTGTTTCTGGGAAGCCTGGGTCTGCAGTGGGCGCCCATGGGAGAGGTCACGCTGGGCTTCAGGAGGCGCACGCTAGAGTCCGGATCCTCAGAGGCCACTCTCTTCAGCTCGGCTGCAAAGGAAAAGTCCCCTGAAAGGACTGGGCTGCGGGCAGCTGCGATAAATGTTCCCCTAACAGCCGCCTCACCTGATTTTGGGATGGCGGTAGTAGTGGTGGTGGTTTCAGCATAAACAGCCAGTGGTGCCGCCAGCAGCACATGTTGCCCACTCACTGGGCCACAGACTCCATGTGGAACTCAGTGTTGCCACGTGAAAGCCTGCACGCTTCTCATGTGTATTACTCACATTGTGCTCCCCATCTGTTTTTTTTAAACAAAGGTGCTTCGCCTGCATTGCCTCAGTAATACTTCCAGCAAGCCTGCAGGGTGGCCCAGTTATTCCCAGAGGACAGAGAGAAGGTGCGGCTGAGAAAATCATAGCTTACCTCCGGCCACTCTGTGAATTCCTAGGAAAGCTGTCTTGAGAACAGCTGGCTCCCAGCTCCTAATTCATGCTTTCAGCCACCATTAGTCCAGGGATAGGCTACATGGTAAAATGCCACACAATCCCCATGATTTTAGATTATAATTCTCATAAATCCTCCCAACAAGCATCGGAGATAGGAAAATTTCCTCCCAGAATCCCACTGCCAGCAAGACAGTAGCCGGCTAACTCTTTGATTTGAGTAGCTGTAAATAAAAATAAACAAAAAAATTAACTTTCCCCATTTCTGGCCAGCCTCACCAATGATCTCAGATGGTTCAAAATATCTGGAGGGGACCCAGTTGCCTCTCCCTGGTTTCGCTGGCACACCTTGCCCCTCAGAGGGTCCTCCACCATCCAATAAGGCAGCTGTGGGTTATAGGTCAAGGTGTAGTAGCCCTCCCTCCCCCAGATCAGATCAGATCAGGAAAGGCAGCAGCAACAGCAGAGAGGGAGGGCCTTGTGGCTCCTGCCTGTCAAACTGGATTGTGACAGCAGGACTGATTTAACTATCTGCTGCTTGGCAACACTCACAGCCTGGGAGCGGGAAACATGTGAGATGCTTCATTCTCTGGCATGCATCCCACTCCTGTTGCAGCATAATATTGTGACAACAGTTCTCATGTGTACAGATTAAGATGCCTCTCGCCAATATAGAAATGGTGATGGACAGCTGGAACAGAATGTATCACGCTGACATGATCTTGGATGTGCTGTTGTGAAAAGTTACTTTTTTGAACTGCTGCCCCTCAAATCCCACAACTAGCATGGCTGGTCGAAGATAACATACACCAGAGGTAGGTGGGTAAAATCTACTTTCTTGAGGAAGAGACTGTAGGCCAGTGAGATCCAGGATCAGAAGAAAAAACATCCAGTTTAGCACACTGATTAAGAATCAAAGCTGTAAACAGATGCTCAGTGGCCCATCAGAAAGTAGTCTGAACCATAATTTTCTCATGGGATGCTTCTGTTGGTTTATCCCAACCCCCAGTTTACACAGTGGCTGAAATCCTTTTGTACTGCTACACAAAAGGTATAAAATCTGGAGGCAATTTGCCATAGGTTAAGAAATCTCCATAGACATCTGCTGTGTATTGAGTCATGCAACAGAAAATGTCTACAGTAATGTCTTAATCTGAGCCATTTGCCTCCTAAAGTTAAGCCTTTTGCATAGCAGTGTAATAGGATTTCAGCCAATACAAGTGAAAGGGCATGGGCACCTCGTCTCAAGTCTTCACAGGTTCATAACGAGTCCTGTAGGGTCAGGATGATGATTTTATATCTCTGTCCCTCATTCTCTTCTTCTGACTGACCAGCTGTTGCAATGACATAGGATGAGAAATGTACATCCTTCAAAACATTTTGACTGGGTGTGAAGCTTCACATTCAGTTGCCATTAGCAGAACATGTGGGTAAGAATGTACATGTATGTTCTAGACAGATAATCGATACTGTATTGTATAAATAATTGTATTTCTCCCGGGTCTCAGTATGTAGTACAAATCTCATGTTGCATTTTATTTTGATATTTCCATCTCTTGACGTGTTGATTAACTGTTATGAGTTTCATTTTTATTTATATGTATCATTTTCGTTGTCGTTTAGTCATTTAGTCATATCCAACTCTTCATGACCCCATGGACCAGAGCACGCCAGGCTCTCCTATCTTCCACTGCCTCCCAGAGTTATGTCAAATTCATGTTGGTAGCTTTGGTAACACTGCCCAACCATCTCGTCCTCTGTCGTCCCCTTCTCCTCTTGCCATCACACTTTCATAACATCAGGGTCTTTTCCAGAGAGTCTTCCCTTCTCATGAGATGGCCAAAGTACTGGAGCTTCAGCTTCAGGATCTGTCCTTCCAGTGAGCACTCAGGTTTGATTTCCTTTAGAATTGATAGGTTTGTTCTCCTTGCAGTCCAGGGGACTCTCAAGACTCTCCTCCAGCACCACAATTCAAAGGCATCAATTCTTCGGCGGTCAGCTTTCTTTATGGTCCAGCTCTCACTTCCATACATCACGACAGGAAAAACCATAGCTTTGACTATTCGGATTTTTGTTGGCAAGGTGATGTCTCTGCTTTTTAAGATGCTGTCAAGGTTTGTCATCGCTTTCCTCCCAAGAAGCAGGAGTCTTTTAATTTTGTGGCTGCTGTCCCCATCTGCAGTGATCATGGAGCCCAAGAAAGGAAAATCTGTCACTGCCTCCATATCTTCCCCTTCTATTTCCCAGGAGGTGATGGGACCAGTGGCCTTGATCTTAGTTTTTATGTTGAGTTTCAGACTGAGGTTCTTTAATTCCTCCTCACTTTCTGCCATCAGAGTGGTATCATCTGCATATCGGACGTTGTTGATATTCCTTCCTGCAATCTTAATTCTGGCTTGAGAGTCATCCGGTCCAGCCTTACGCATGATGTATTCTGCATGCAAGTTAAATAAGCTGGGGGACAATATACAGCCTTGTCGTACTCCTTTCCCAATTTTGAACCAATCAGTTGCCCATAGTAGGTATAAGAAATAAATTTAAGAAACAAACTTTCTATCACATCAACTGAGACTGCAGCCTTCCCCAAGCAGTGACCTCTAGATATGTTAGACTACAATACCCATAATCCTTAAGCAGCACAGACATTGGACATGCTGGGTAAGAATGACAGCGGCTGTCATCTGATACATCCAGAGGGATCCAGGCTGAGGAAAGTGAACTAGCACTGCAGTTGATGTGCCAGAGGGAGGAGGAAAGAAGTTATAATCCAGCACATCTGGAGCACATTGGGTTGAAAAGGGAAAAAACAAGGACAAAATATGGCAGTACCTTAAAAACATAACAGATTTGTTTCAGTGTGAGTTTTTGTGGATCAAAACCATCCTCTTCAGGCACAGATTTTGATCTCCAATAGATTTTGATCCACAAAAGCTCACACAGAAATAAATCTTTCATTTTTAAGGTGCTGTAATATTTTTGCCCCCCCCCTTTTTTCTTGTTTTCCATTTTCCTCCTTTAACTTTTGTCAGCATGCTAAACCAGATAATGCAACTCCAACTTCAGACTGGGAAAGGCTGCTCTGTAAAGGGGAGGGAGATCTTTTACCGCTGGGGTGAGGAGTTGGGGAATCCTGCCAGGATTTGATTTTTTCCTGTATCCCTGGATTCTTAGAGTTATTGGAATCACTCATCCATATCATGAAGGTCCTATTTCCTGTGTATACGCCACTGACCTTTATTCTCTTGCAGTGGGTTTCACTGCTTTACATGAGCCTCAATGTGAAGAAGCCAGAGACTGGGAGTTCCGTTCCCCACTGCGCGTCCCAGGAGAGCCCCCAGAAGAAGGGAATGGGAGACCACTTGCGTCCCAGGAGAGCCCCTAGAAGAAGGGAGTGGGAGACCACTTCTGAGTCCTCTCTACCTTGAAAACCCTGGAAAGTTTTGCCATGAAGTCAGAAGTGACTCCATGGCACACAATTATTATTAGTAGTAAATGGGCACAAAGCAAAAAAAATTTTAAAAACTGGGAATACCCAGAAAAGTCCTCCTTCCAAGACTTCTGGTTTGGATCGTTCTCTTAGACGTAAACTTCCTTTGTTAGAGCAGCTATGCATGTTTCATGCATGTGTCTGCCCCATTCACTTATAAAACTGGTGTCCTGTGTTTGTCTGAATAAACTTGATGATCTATAGGTCTCTTCCAGCTCTGCCCTTCTAAGATTATAAATGAGGTACACAGATGTGAGCACCAACTAACAAGCCAGGGTCCAAGAAATGTAGCTGCCTAAGGTAGATCAGCAAATTGTGCTCTCATCCTTTCCCAATCTAAGTCCCTAGCACCTAAAGTCCGCTGTGCCATTTTGGAATGTGAGCCATGAAATTACACATGTACCTCCCCTAGCTGTTAAAAAAAGTAAATAAACAATTACAATAACAGCAAAGCAAAAAACTAACACTTTCCTAACATTTTAAGTCTCCCCAAACCTTTTGACTGAGGTGTCAGCCTAACGGTAGGGCTAGTCCTGGCTAACCTTTACCCTCTAGATTTTTTTAATCCACTCAAGAGCTTCCATTTTTTTTCTTCCTCGGCCTGCTTCACATCTGACAATACAGCTCAGGCAAACCAGAAGGTCATGGGAGAAGGGACAGGCTTGTATTCTCTTGACCTTCTTGAGTTCCCTAAACCTTGTGGAGATGGGCATGAACTGGGCTTCAGTGGTTCGGCCCAGTTCAGCGTGGCACCCACACAGGTGTTTTGCAGGTGCCGTGCACTTCCTTCCCCTGCCTCCTTCATGTGTTTGCCCACTCACTGGCAGCAGCACTTGCTTCCCTCCTCTGCCTCCTTTGGCACCTCCCCACTCAAAGGCAGAGCCATGGCCTTCCTTGCCCCACCTGCTTATCTGCATGGGCAGCCAACAGAGGAGGCAGAGGAGAGAAGCGCACGCTGCTCTCAGTGAGTGTCTGGCCACTGGAGGAGGCCGAGGAGAGAAGTGTGCTGCCACCCATGAGAGTGCAACTGGATGAAGGAGGTCAGGGAGGGAAGTGTGGGGTGCCCATGGAATACCTATGTGGGTGCCGCACCAAACTGGGCCAAACTGCCAAAGCGCAGTTTATGCCCATCTCTACTTAAAGGTTAATAGTACAAACATAGTTTCCTGGTCATGTCCACATTGGCCCTCAAAGAAAGGATTTTGGGCTGTTCCAGAGACTTACAAGGGAAAAGCCTGGCTTCCCTTTACCTGTAAAGTGAACTTTTGGGGTAGGGATGTAGGGGGTAGGGATGAGGATGGGGGCATACTCCAACTTAAAGAATACAGATTTAGACCTCAGCCAGTGGTGGTCAATGACTCAAATTTCAGTTATGTTATGAATCTGCTACAAGCCCTGAACTTTACAGGAGTTATTTAAAGGGTACAGTTAAGCATATCTCCTGTAAAGTGCAAACTAAAATTCGGAGTGGATTCCCAGCCCCACTGGAACTGAAGTCTCTACACTAGCTGTCCAAATGATTTTGAAAAGGGCCATTTAGATAAGAGTGTCCACAGGACTTTTTCCAGGGTTGGGGCCTAAGCTGCAGCGTGATAGGTTGGCACTACTGGTGTCCATATGATGTGTCATGACAAAACATGTATTTGTCTGTGCACTATAAAATATATGCATTTAGGATTATCGGGGGAGGGAAGAGAAGGTAGGAAATCCTACATGTCTTAGTACCTAGGAACAGAAATAGAACATTAATATATGAAACCAACAACAGTTAGATGCCCCCACCTCCAATCAGGTACCTGAAGTGACAACATAATTCTGTCCAATGGCAAGGCCAGTTCTGGAACATCATAAGAAAGGAGACTCACTCTTGCCTCATCACAGTAAGGACAGCTCCTTAAATTCTGTGTTTATGGAAGGTCTTTGCTCCTCTGCAGCCCTCCTTGGAAAATAACATGTGTGT